CCGGGCCGGGCGGGGGCCCAGGCAGCTGAGGGGCCGGACCAGGCAGTGGGGCGGCCCAGGTGGAGCACGGCCTCCTCCGGGATAACGGAGCAGCCGGGGAATTGCTGTGGGGAAAGTGAAATTAAATTACGGGCGGGTGGGCCGATAGAAACTGGGCTTGGGCTTGGGTGCTGCCTGTGGCCCCACCTCGCTCCTGCCTCGCGGAGAGAGCAGGAAAACATGAGGGAGTTAATCTCCAGCTGCCTCTGTTGTGATGCTGGGAAGGTGCACCAGCTTGGAAAAGCCTGTGTGCAACAGGCAGTGTGGGAACTTGCTTCACAAATCGGAGAATAGTTAAAGAGCATGAATTGAATAATCCCCGTGGTGCTCGGGATACATTTTGGGTGACAAACCTGAGCAGTTCACTGTGGGTCTGGAGGATGAAAAAATCCTCTGACCCTTCATGCAGCTGGCAGCTCCAGCAGTGGTAATGAAAGCTAATTACTGCTGCTTTAAGTTATGCTCACAACATAAGCTGATGGTGCTCAGCTAGAAAACATCTTTACCAGCACAGAAGTGAGAGAAGAATTGGCCTCTGCATCACCCACAAGCAGGTTTATTTATTTCCAGCATGGTTTTAGAACTGGGGAGCCAGCAGGAGTTAATTTTGTAAATGGTTTTAGCCCAGTGAGCTCTGAGCCTGGCTTGGAAACCTCTTCAGGGAGTTGTTCCAGCTACAGAGGGTTGAAGGGAGACTGGGAGGGAGGAAGTGGTGCAACTTTCCTCAGTCCTAAAAAATGTAAGCAAATGTATCCTGAAGCCCTTTTATGGAGTCAGTTTCAGACTGCCTGTAAGGGCTCAGATTCTTATTGGAGAAAGGACACAGGCAGCTTCAGATGTGGGCAGTCTGAAGGAGAAGCTGTTTGTAGCATTTTTTATGGGCCACTTGCATGCTGTGTGAATTTTAGGTGTGGCTCTCTCTCACCTGAGTGGGAGAGCTCTACAGTGGAGAAGAAACACAGAAATGGGATGAGTGAGGTGGTGCCAAATACTCATTCCCCTGCCCTGAAGAGGCAGGAGAGGTGCTGGGGAGCTGCTGTGAACTCATTTTCTGCTCCTTTGCTGCCCTGGCAGTGATGCAACTGCAGAAATAACAAAGTGTAACATAGGAGACACAGCATGTTTCTCCTCCTGAGAGCGCAAGCATGACCCAGACTTGATGTGAAAAATGGGGATTTGTCCCCAGTTGCAGTTCTGTTTGCTGTTTCCCCACATGGGCTGGCCAAAATGCTGTTTCAAAACCACCTGCAGAGGTGAGGAGCAGTGTTGGGAACTCCCCGTGTGTGGAGATGCGAGGCTTGACTCCATTTTCAGAGGCTGGTTTATTATCTTATGATATCTATTATATTAAAATACTACATTAAAACTATACTAAAAGAACAGAGGGAAAAGAAAGATCAGAAGGCTTGAAAGAACAGGAATAGAATGCAGAACAAAATGCTGTGACTGCTCACAGCCTCGGCACAGGTGCTGTGGTTGGCCATCAATTGAAAACAACCCACATGGAGCAATGGAAAAGGCTCCTGCTGCATCCCACAGCAGCAGACAGTTATTGTTCACATTCCTTTCCTGGGGCTCCTCAGCTTCCCAGGAGGGGAAAATCCTAGCAAAGGATTTTTAATAAAATACCATAGCTACAGAGCAGGGGAGTGAAGGCAGCAGGGGCTCCTCAGTGGCTCACTGTGCCTCCCTGGGGGGGCTGTGTGCAGATGGTGCTGATCCCAGGAGGGGTGTTCACCATGGGCACCCAGGAGCCTCAGATCCAGCAGGATGGAGAGGGCCCTGCCCGCAGAGTGCACCTTGGCAGCTTCTACATGGACCAGTACGAGGTCAGCAACCTGGACTTCGAGAGCTTTGTCAACTCCACGGGCTACATCACTGAGGTGAGGCACCAGGGCTCCTCTCAGCCTGGGACAATCCCAGCTGGAAACCAGCCTTGGCTTTTTGGGGGGTGTCACAACACTTGTTTGGGAATTGCATGCCCCAGTGTTCCTGGGGAGGTGGTGGGGAGCAGGAGTTGTCTGGCCCTGCTGTCCTGGGCTGGAAGGGCAGTCAGGTGTTTGTTGTTGTGTTTAATAACCAGCTGAGCTCACATCTGTCCTGCAGCCTGGTGAGGCCAGCAGGTCTCTACAGGCGTTTTTGGGGTGATTTACTTGGGGTTTTTTGATATTTGGGTCCTGGAGCTCTTTGTACCAGGATAGATTTTCCTTATTTTAGAAAATCCTGGAGAAGGGATTCCACAGTCTGAGATGGCCAGGGACTCTGCAGGCTGGCTCAGCACAGCTCTGTGCTGCTGACAGAGAGCCTGTGCCTCGGGAGGAGACAGCAGCAGCTGCAGTGATAATTGTGTGCCTGTTCCTGGGAACAATGAATAAGAACATGTTGAGGTTCCTCCCAGAAAGGGCCCCCTGTGCCTGAAGCTCAGATCCCTGCTGACAGTGACTGTTCCTACGCAGCTGTGACAAACCCTGACAGCCCTTGGAGGCAAATGGAACCTGGCTGAGGAGCAGGTCTCAGAGGAGGCACTTTGCTGAATTCACTGCATGAACTGGGTCTCATTTGGAAGGCAGGATCCTCTGGTTGGATGAAGAGCTTCTTTTGTCTACTATTTCTGTTTCTTAGCTCCATAATTATGAAAAAAAGGCAGTTTAACTATGTTGAGTTGGAACAAAGCTTGCTCGCTGCAGCAGCTTCTGGGATGAGCACTTGTGTGCTGGGTTCATTGTGGAATCACAGAATATCCTCAGCTGGAAGAGACCACAAGGATCATCAAGTCCAACCCCTGGCTCTGCACAGACACCCCAGCAGTCCCTCCCTGTGCCTGAGAGTGTTATCCAAGTGTTCCTGGAGCCCTGGCAGGTGGAATCTGTTGCAGACCCCATGGCTCAGCTGGTGTCATTGAGTGCTCCACTTACACCTCCTCCCTTTTCTCTTTGTGTAATGTACTGTGATTGATCAAAACTATTTGTATTTTTTATTCTTTTGGATTGCTAAAATGCTAGATCCAATGATTGAGTTACTTTTAACTCTTTATTGTTGTAGCAGCAATTTAAAACGTGGTACTAGTGATGGTGGAGCAGTAAGTGACAAGGCTCAGTCTTTTATTGTGCTTCCCAAAGGAAAAATAAGAGGAATGAAACATACCCTTTCATATTAGACTGATGAGTGTAGCATTTGAAAGCAGTTGGGACAATCAGAACTGCATTTTTAATTAATAAAAGTAAAAACATGTGCAGAAGCTCAGTGAGCTGCCATCTGCCCAAAACAACATCCAGAGAAAAAAAATCCCTTCTTTTCTGTTGCAAAACAGCTTCCTTGAAAGAGAACTCAAATTCATGGTGAATTTGTTTGGTCAGAGGTTGGACTTGATGGTCTTGGAGGGTTTTTCCACCTTAATGATTCTCTGAATTTTCTTATCTTTGATAAAACAAAGCTGTAAATGTGGAGTGTGGTTCCAAGAATAGCACTCCTTTGGTGACATAATGCTTGAATCCTTTGTTCTTTCCACAGGCAGAGAAGTTTGGTGACTCTTTTGTGTTTGAGGGGATGCTGAGTGAGGCAGTGAAGGCTGACATCCACCAAGCAGTGAGTAGCACAGCAGGGGGAAGCTCCCTGAGCAATCCCTGGGCTCTGTTGGCAATCACAGCAGGAAAACTGAACTCTGTGATGTCCCCAAAGCCAGGTGCAAAAATGGGGGATTGTGGAGAGGTGTTTGGCCAGGAATCATGGACTGAAGTGGGGAGGATTTGCAATCTGTTCTGTCCTTTTTCTTTAAAAAACAATTAAAAACATCAATTCCTGAGCAAAGATTGGTATCAACCCATTGTCTCTTTTTGCCCCCTACCTGAGAAGTTCAGGCTGAGTCTGTGAATTCCTTATGTTGTGAATGGCTGGAGTTTATGATGTTTCTTCCTCTCTAGAGGGTCCTGTGTTTATTTGCTGCTTTTCCAGCTCCCCTCACCCCCTGGGCACCAATGATCCTGGGAGGGGCAGTGCTGACTCCTCTGGAGCTGATCCAGGTTTCCTGTTGAGTGAAAGTGAATATTGGTTTAAAAAGAAAGAAATTTCTCTAATAAATCTTCCCTTTCCTCCCTTTCCTTTTTTTTTTTTTTGTTTTGTTGTGACTATATTCCTGAGCCTTCCTCAGGCTTCATTTACCTCCTCCTTAGCAGGTCAGGTCCCCTTTGCAGCTCTTGGCAGATAAGCAGATTGTGTCCTGTCATTTCCTGGACGAGTTGATCTGCTCTGAGCACAGGTTTGGACAAAATCACCTCCTGAGGTCCCCTCGTGTCAGAATTATCCTCAGCTCTGAAGGGGCACAGTTTGATTTTGGTTTTCAAGGGGCAGCCTGAGAGGTTTCAGGAAGCCCTGTGTGAGTGTGTGCTGTGAGGGACTGGCAGAGAACGTGGGATTTGGGTTCCTGCTGCCAGGGAAGGAAGATTACAAGTGCAGTTTGTAATCTTTTAATTCAGGACTAGCATTTGTGCACTGAGAGAGATAAGGCTAGATTCTAGTTCCCACCACCAGCACAACTGATGCTAAATCCATCCATGGATTTGTTCTGCCTTCATAAAAATAATAAAAAATACAAATAAAAAATGAATGGCTCGTTCTATCTTCCCAACAGTCAGTCCTGGGGAAATTCCTTTTCCTGTGTAGTTCTGTGCTGCAGAAATCCCTAAATGAGTTTGTGTTTTAAAACAAACAAACAAACCCCAAGGATGCTGCTGTAAGCTCAGCCTTGGCAATTTTGTAAACACAGAGTGTTGGGAGCCACTTTCCTGAGTGTGTCAGCCAAATTTCCAAGTGTTGGCTGCAGTGCTCACAGGACAAGTGTTATGCCAGAGGCCTGGGATGGAGCCCAAACTGGTCTTTTTGGCTGCTGCATTGTGAAGGATTTCTGGAGCTATTAAAAGTAAACTTGATGTTAAAAGTAATTTTCTTCAATCATAACTATCAGAAAAAAAGCAGAAATAAAGTATAAATATTGGTGTGTTACTGGCACTGCAAATCCCTCCAGCCAACCAGTGGGAGAGAGGATTGTGGTTTTCCTTTGCCTCAGTGGCTCAGGAGTGTTTTGACAAAGATTTTCTCCAGGTGAAGCCCAGGGATGTGAAATGTAAATATGAATATAGGGGAAGAGCAACAGGAATGTAAATTTTTAAAGCAGTATTTCACATGCTGTGAAATAACTGGGGAAAGGTGAAAGTGGAGGGACCAAACTAAATAATTTAGAAATGATGAGCTGTGTGTGTCTTTTGTGGGTTTTGCTCTGTTTGGCCACTTTGTCTTCTCCAGTTCTTAAAGCAGATTTATCAGAGCCTCAAAGGCACTGGCTGAGAGCAGAGCTGGGGCTGGTGGCAGCTGCTGAGGAGTGACCCAGCTGAGCTCCAGGGTGATTGTTGGAGCTCTGGGTGTGCCTTTCCTGGAGGTGAGGTGGGCTCCCAGATAGCCACTGACAGGAATGTGGGCTGGCCTCAGCCTCTGGAAGGGAAGCAGTAAAAAGGGGTGTAGCAGCCAAGGATCAATTGTTGCAGATTTCTGGGAACTTGGGTTTTAGTTTTGGCCTCCAAGTTTGTGGTGGTCACGTGGCTGAAGGAGCATTTAGTGCTGTGCCAGATGAGGGAATTACTGATGGAACTGGGGAGGGCTCCTTCAAATGGAAAAGGATTTTGTGGGGTGAGGGGAGGGAAGGTCTTTTGAAGCTGAAATTATTTGTGTGGACTTAAAAATTATGAGAGCTTCACATCTTAAATTCTTCATACGCAGCCTGGAGAAGAGGAGGCTCTGGAGAGACCTTGGAGCCCATTCCAGGGCCTAAAGGGGCTCCAGAAAAGGTGGAAGAGGATTTTTGGAAAGGGACAGGACATGGGGAATGGCTTCCCACTGCCAGAGGGCAGGGATGGATGGGATATTGGGAAGGAATTGTTCCCTGGCAGGGTGGGCAGCCCTGGCACAGGTGCCCAGAGCAGCTGGGGCTGCCCCTGGATCCCTGGCAGTGCCCAAGGCCAGGCTGGACACTGGGGCTGGAGCAGCCTGGGGCAGTGGGAGGTGTCCATGGCCATGGGGATGGGACTGGATTTGAGGTCCTTCCAACCCAAACCATTCCATAATTCCATTTTATTCTGAGGGGTTTGAGAGCTCTTGCCAATCCCTGCAGGAGTTTGCTGCCCAGGTACCATGGAAAAGGGAACCAGGATGGCACAGCAGGAGTGCAGCCTCAGTCTTTGCTCACTGGGGAGTAGTGGGGACATTATTATTCTTGGCTTGTGGAAGGCAGAAAAATTAATTTTTGCTTCAACACCAGATAAATTCTGCACTGAAGAGCCTGAGAGCATACAAATGTGTGTGCTGCCTTTGTCTGTGAGGGTATGGAATTTTGGGTCTGCAATGCAATGGAATTGGCTCACTGGCAGCTCAAGCCAGCACTAAATTCTGGCCAACCCAGAGCTGTGGGATGCTACTTTCATCCCTGTTTGTATGGAAATCTCTGCAGTGGCCTGGAGCTGTGCAATTTGCCTGTTTCACAATAACCCCAAATGGAAACATTCTGCATTTCAGCTGAACATCCCAAGGTGCTGCTGAGAGGAGCCCTGGCTGCAGGTGGGACAGCAGTGCCAGTGTGGGCAGGGTGAGCTGTTCCTGCAGCCCCCAGTGCTTCAGCTGCTCCCTGCAAGGAGCTGGAAGATGGAGCTGTTGAAGTGTTCCTCTGTGGGTTTTTGTGCTCTACTCCCACTGCTGGGATAAAGAAGGATGTGCTGGAATTCTCCCTGGGAATTGCCAGGAACATCAGCTTGTGTTATCAGAGCTGCAGTTTAAAGCAGGGCGTGGTTTGTGCCTCAGGATAAATCCGTGCACATCTCCTCTCCTTACAGCTCATGTGCATTTGGTTAGTGGAAAAAATGACCAGTTGGAGTGCAGATTTAGATGTTGGCTGGAAATCAGACTTCCAGAGGTGTCTGCCTTCACCAGGAATATCAGTTCCTCAAAAGAAGCTTCTTCTGAGTCCAAAACTTGCACTTAATGAATCTGACTGGATTTTAGCATCACGTATTTGTGGTTATTTTTCTTGGAGGACTGACAGGGCTGTGAAGTTTTACACTGTCTGAACTGAAGCTCAGTGACCTTTCCTTATGCAAAGAAAAGGGCCCTTCATAAAAGTGCTTGTTTCCAATCAAGTCTGAAATATCTTTTGTAGTTGATGACTTACAAAGTAAAATTAAATATCTTTTAAAGCTGATGCCTTTCCTTAGTGTGCAGTTTCAAACTGCTGTAAAATACTGGATTTTAAGGCAGATAATATTCAATATTAAACAAACCCCCTTGTTGCTTCCCTTTCTGAGCTCATGAGGGAGTCCATTAACATTAGAAATTAAGAGTGAGAACAGATTCCTCTGTAATTAGAGCTTTGGGGGAGCTGGGACTTTTAATTGATAGAATAAATAGCATGGGAATTGCAGGAGCTGGCAAAATCAGGTATTCACAGAATCCTGGAAGGGACCTCTGGAGATGCTCTAGTCCAGCCCCTGCTGCAGGTGTGAGCTGCCTGCTGGACAAATCCTCTGCTCACTGTGTTTGGGTTTGTGTGTGGCAGGATTTCCCATCCTGGCTCATCCCTTGGCCATGACTGCTGCAGGTTTGTTTTCTGTGGGGACAATGAAGTGGATCCATTGCACAGTAATTATTTTTATTTCTTAAACTTCTCACCCTACTAAAAATGTTCCGTTTTCTGTCTGCCTCTTTCCTCAGTACTTCATTAATCAGTGCTCAAGGTTTAGGATCTGGCTTAGAGGAGGAAGAGCTGTCAGAGATTTATGTGCATCTGCCTGACATGAATAAAATAAAACCTCATCCAAAAATTATGTTCTTTACTGAATAACAAATTTTTCCTCACGTCCTACCAATGCTAACAAGATCCTTTTGCATACTAAAGCTCAACACCATCTGATTGAAACAAGTGGTAACCTATTAAGTCAGCTTCTGAACTGGAGTGGTTTTTTAAGAATCCACCACTTAATAAATGATTCTTAAAGTGGTTTCCAGACTTGGGCTGCTTTTCACTCAAAATCTCTTTTCACACAGTTAATTCTGGAGTTCTGCAGTCACTTTTGTTTTTTTCCAGCTGTTTATTCTGTCTGGTGTAAGGCTTTTAAAATACTTTATTAAAATAGCATTGGAATGCTGTAGCACAAAAAAAAAGCTGAAGTTTGGTGCTGTATGACTGGACAGCAGCATGAATTTGTCATCATCTTGTGGGCCTGCCTTAAGGTTCAAATCCACAGCTTTGTTATTTCGGGGACTTGCTACTTGATGGAAATGTCGGAGCCTGAGCCAAGATGAGCTACTCTGTTGAGTTTATTTTTGGGAAATTTTCGGATACATAAATCTGATTTGAATTTGAGATTTGCTCCTCAAGTGGGGGTTGTTTTTCTCTCAAACGTGGCCTGTCACAGGTTAGTGCAAGAATAATAAATGCTTTTATGGCTTTGGGGTGGTTTTTAGGGGTATTCCCCTACTGCAGCAGCAGCAACAGGGTGATGCTGACAATGAAACTCACTTGGTGATGTTCCCCACTCTAATTTTCTTTTCCACATAGATTTAGGAAGGAATTTTCCTCAAGCTAATTGTGAAGTAGTTAAAAAATCTTGACATTGTGAGGTAATGGAGCAATTAAAGTTAGGCTGTCCCAGCCCACTTGGAAAGGAAAATGGAATAGTTGGGAGGAGAGTTTTCTGCGGGCTGTTAGTGGGAGCTCAGGCTCCAGCTCTGCAAATTGCTCCGCCCAGAGCAAAGCTGGTGGGCTGGAATTAATTGTTCCAGCTCTTCCCAGTGTTTGCACACTGGGCTCTCTTTCCACAGTCCTCTGGGTCTGCAAGAAGCAGAACAGGGAGTTCTTAAGGTTTAATCCTGGAGGGGAGAGCAGGATAATCCCTGTTTCCAGCTGGGTCAGACCAAACCAAGCCTTTGTGCCTGTGCTTTGCTCTGGGAATGTTTCCCTGTGCACCAGGGTGCAAGGATTGCAGGGCAGGTGTGGGTAACCTGGCACAGGTGGCATGCTGCAAGAATTAACCAGAAGGAAGGGGAATGTCCTCTGAGTCAAGATCTGTTCAGCAGCATCTGCTGCTATTTGGACAGCAGGAATCTGTTGCCAGTGCACAGAACATGTTTCGGAGGGAAGCAGAACGTGAAGTGTTATGAAAGTAACTAAGCTCATTATTGGCAAGGGAGGACTTGGCTGTATTAACTGTGATGTTGTAATATCTCTAATTAGCTCTTCTGCTAATTAGATCTAGAGCAATTAAAAGCTTTAAAGACTTGGGAGAAGTTGTGGGAGAGAACTGTAGAGTTCAGGTAGGAGATTTCTGGAGGGAGCAGCTCGGGGTGTGTTCACTGGAGCCAGGGGCTGCCTTAGGTGAGTCTCCAGGTAATTCTTGCAGGCTCTCCGTGTTCTCCCCTGTTATCCTTATCCCAGCCCTGCATGTCAGTGCTCTGGGTGCTCTGCAGAGCCTGGCAGCCATTTGGTGCTCAGCTCAGCAGAGCCACAACCGGGAGCTGTGCACACGCAGTGCTTTCCTGTGGAGAGACATTTTTCTTGGGTTAAAATAAACCAGCCTGATTGAAAGCATCTGCTTTTTCTTTTGCATCACAAAAATATTTTCCAAAATTAAAGTTGTCTAAAGTGTAAATCTTTGCAGTCTCCTGCAGAGATGTTTTTATCCAAAACCCAGCAGTTTAATTTACAAAAATATGTTGTGCTTAGAAACTGTCGAAATCTTTCTTGTGATCTTTCAGATTTTAGCTTTAGCAAGTGGTTCTGCTGCTCTTTTATTTTCCTTAAATAGCTGCAAAATGCTAATTTTGGATTTCTGTCCTATTTCCAGTGTAGTTTAAAGGTCAAACCTCAGTATGGAAAAGGAACTGGTTAAATGGGGCTAGCTTTAAACCTCTTGACTGTTCTATCAGTTTAGCAGGCCCATCACTCTGAAGCCTCAGTGCTGAGAGAGTTGAGCAGAGTGTCTGCAGGAAGGGCTCATTTTGGGGTTTGAATGCTCAGCAACAGAGCTGTAATCCCTGTGAGAGATCAGCTGTTTCTCATGCTTTTTGCCAAGGGTGGTGGCTCTGCTTGGGGTGAGGATGTCCTTTGTTAGACACTGAGCCAGAACTGGGGTTGGTGTTGTTCACTGATGTTCTTGTCGTGCTGGGGAGGGCAGGGAGGGTCTGTGAGAGCTGTCCTTGCCTGGGGGTCCCACTTGGGGGGACAGCAGAGGACACAATCATGCTGCTGGGAGCATATTTGTTTCTTTGGTGCTTGACACTCGGGTGTTCCCTTTGGAAGGGAGGGTGTCCACACTGTGAACACCTTCCCAGCCTGGAGGAGCCCTACAGCCTCCTCAGGCATTTCACAGCCCTTCCCCAGGGCTCCCCAAAGCTCTGGGCTCTGCAGCTTTAGTCCAGGATTGCTGTTGATTTCCAGGGAGCTTTTCAATACCCAGATGTGCTGCAGGCAAAATCCGTGTGTGCTGAGAGGGGAGGAGGGAAAGGCTGTCAGGGAGTGTCAGCACAGGCTGATGGGGCTCTAAACCCAGGATAATGTGTGTTCGGGCACTTGCTACTGAAATATCCACCTGAGTGATTTGATGTGTAGCTTGGACCAGAGTTTTCTGGACAATCTCTGTGTGACATAGATAATCTGTCTCACACACATGTAATTACACGTTCTGTTGAAGGATGCAGCTTCCCCCTAGAAGCTGCTGTTAAAATTGTTTGACCAGACTGATTCTAGGTCTCCTCAATACCAGCTTGCAGTGACTTTTTGGACTTTGCTCTGAAGGTTTGGTGAGTTAAAGGGTAACACTGTTGGCACCTTTCCTACCTCTGTGAATAACACTTGACAAAGTCAGTCTAGGACTAACCAGCCTCTGGCTTGTTTACCTCCTAAAGCATTCCAGGCTTATTTTCTCTGATTTTTGTTTTTTATAGACATTATCTCTGTTATAGGAGTATTTTGGAAGCTGTTGGAATAAACCCACTGTTGATGGGTGGCATAAATGTTCCTTTCTTTGCCTCAGTGAAGGCCCCATTATTCAAATAAGTATTTCTAAGTGAATATGAATCAGAACAGTTAAGCATTGCTTTGAAGCAAGCCTTATTATAGAAGAAATCCCTAAAGAATGTCTTCCAGGAAAAATTCCTTGGCGTTGAAGCACCAAATTTGGGATTTCTGGTTTCAGAGAACTACTCAATGCCTGCATTGCTACAGATGATTTTGGCTGGGTGATGTTTCCCAGCAAACCAGCTGGAGGAAAAAAAAAAAAAAAGAGGCTTCATGCTTCTCTTCCCTTGTGTGGTTATTCTGTCTCCACCTTCTGGAAGTTGAGAGCAAATAATTTAAAATCAGCTGAGTGGGTTAATGACCTGGAAAGCAAATGTGTTGCAAGATGAGTGTTTGACCCCCAGCTAAAGGGCATCATTGGGGGGTTATTTCAGTGATGTCAAAACACTGAGGCCAGGGAGCAAATAATAAAGGTGAAAATGCTCTTCAGGCCAAAATCATATTTTTTTTCCCTCTCTGCAGATTGTATCAGACTGAAGTCAGGCAGGAGCTGAAATTTGCACAGGCACAAACTGGTTTGGGTTGGTTGGGATCTGGTGGTTGTTCAGAAAATCCCCTAGCTGGGAACTGAAGTGTCCTTCCCTGCTGCTCTTGTCCTTTTTCAGGTGGCAGCTGCTCCCTGGTGGTTGCCTGTGAAAGGAGCCAGCTGGAGGCACCCTGAGGGCCCTGACTCCAGCATCTCCAGCAGGTGAGCCATGAGCACCCATTCCATCAGAAAACACAGGGAATACCCCTGTGGCTCCCACCAGGAATGGGCTGCAGGAAAGGCCTTTTATTCAGTCACCTGTTGGCTGCTGGTGCTGCTGCTGGGACTGTTTTCCCACCTTCTGATGAGTTGCATGCAGCATTCCATGGCCATGGTGAGTGATGCAGAGCACAAAGGTCTGTCAGGACGAGCTGATTGAGCCTCGGTGTTTGCTGTTCATTTCTGTGTGCCAGCAGGGGAACTCAGCAGATCTCCCCAGGGTCACAAACTCCACACCTGGGTTTGGAGGGGAGGAATCAATCCTCACTGTGTGCACACTCCAGCAGTCTGGGCAGTGTGAACTCTTCCATGTGGGATTTGGAAGCCTCTTTCTCTGGCAACAGAAGACTGAGGAGTTTTGTGCATTTTTCACTGTATTCTGACTGTGTGAAAAATCAGTTGTGACTATGCAGAACCTTTGAATGCTTTGGAATACTCTGCTTTTTCTTACAGTTAGTGCCACCCTTTGCTTGCACAAACCCTGAAACTTGCTGATCCTTGTCTTCATACAATTGCTTTCCATTCTGAAGTGGAATGAATTTTTGTCCTAGAAAATCAAATTACTGTCTTCATTTGGGACCTCTAACATTGCAAGGCAGGTGTCAATGAAGTTGGCACTTCATCAGCTAGTGAAAGTTTCTGACAGCATTTTGAAATCAAATCAGACTCTCTAGCCTAGATCTAGTAGGTTTTTGAGTCCTCTAAGGACAGGACTTTGTTAGTGCACCATCATCTGATGGCTGAAGTGCTCACTAACGAGTTACCTGCTCTCCAAGGGCAAGGAAAGAATTATCTGAGGCAAAAATAGAGATAATAGCTGGAGGCGTTGTTAGGGGGAGCCAGGAATTGAGGTCAGAGCCAGCAGACAGGAGCTGGAAACCTGCCATGAAATTCTGGGCTGGCACAGACCTGGCCTGGCACAGCTGCTGGGAACCTGCCACGTGGAAATGGCCCCAGGGCTTCACAGGGTACACTGGATTCTTAGATGGGGCAGGAAGGTCTCTCCTGGACCCTCAGCTCTGGGAGCTTCTTGCTCTGTTGGAGGCTTGGATGGGGAGGATCCTTCTGCAAGAATGGCTGGGCATTTTTTTCTGTCTTTTTCTGGATAAAGAGACAAGGATTTTAATGTCAGTCCTGGAACCAAACGCCATTAAAGACAGGAGCTCTTGTGTAAACTGTGGACTGCTTAAAGCACCCAAAGAAAATCACTTCCCAGCTAAATTTCTGCAGTTCAGTGTCCTGGACAGGGTGCTGCAAATGCTGAAAGAGTTGGTAAGACTCTTCCTCATGTCACCTCTCCCTCAAAGCCCCACAGCTGACAGCAAGGACAGGACCCAGAGCAGGAGAGGAGCCACAGGGGAGGGAAGAACAGTCACCATTGAATTGCAAAGTGCATTTTGCTGTTGAGAACCCTGCCTTCTGGCTGAGATGGCCCTTGCCAGGCTGGTTTGATGCCAGATGCCCTGTGCCAGGCTGGTTTGGCAGCGGTGATGCTGCAGGTTTTCAGTGCTTTCCTTTGGCTCTGCAAGCACCAAGGCTCCCCCAGAGGGCAGGGTATGGACAGTCCTGGGTGCTGCACTTGAGAAAGCACAAACCATAAATAACTGGAGAGCTGGAGGTGGCAGCAACACCAGACAAACAGAAGTTAATTATTTTCTCCTCCTGTTTCCCTCTGATGGCTGCATTTCCCTTCAAGCATTTCTTTCCTTAAGTAACTTCTTTCCTGTAAAGTCACCTGGTGCAGCTGTAACTCGTCAGTCCTGGGTGTCACACTGTGCTGTGCAGCCCTGAATCTGCCTGGTGCCCTGAGCAGCCTGTCCTGCTCATTTTGTTCCCAGAATGGACCATCCAGTCCTTCATGTTTCCTGGAATGATGCCGTGGCCTTCTGCACGTGGGCAGGGAAGCGGCTGCCAACGGAGGCTGAGTGGGAGTACAGCTGCAGAGGGGGCCTGGAAAACAGGTACTGTCCAGGGGAGCAGGGCTTGGGAGGGGTTTGTTACCCCCAGAACTGCTCTGCAGTCAGGCTGGGAGAGCTGGGGGTGCTCACCTGGAGAGGAGAAGCTCCAGGGAGAGCTCAGAGCCCCTTGCAGCGCTTAAAGGGGCTCCAGGAGAGAGGCTGGGGACAAGGGATGGGGGGACAGGACACAGGGAATGGCTGTAAACTTAAGGAGGGGAGGTTTAGTTGGAGTACGAGGAAAAAAGTATTTATTGCAAGGGTGGGCAGGCCCTGGCACAGAGCAGCTGGATCCCCTGGATCCCTGGCAGTGCCCAGGGCCAGGTTGGACACTGGGTCTTGTCAGCCTGGGACAGTGGGAGGTGTCCCTGCCATGGCAGGGGTGGCACTGGATAGTTTTTAAGGTCTCTCCCAACACAAACCAGATTCTATATAACTGACTTTTAATTAACAGTGTTTGACAGCTGCTCTGTTTGTCTTTTCCCAGGCTTTTCCCATGGGGCAACAAACTGCAGCCCAAAGGGCAGCACTATGCCAATGTCTGGCAGGGAGAGTTCCCCACCAATAACACAGCAGAGGATGGGTACAAGGGGACTGCACCTGTAAGTGTGTCTCAAAGACAATCCAGCATGTGGAAATGATCTTAATCTTCCTAAAATAAGGTCTGTCTTCAGGAGGATGAGCCATGGCTGTTTTCTATCCCTGTGCTCTTTCATTTTAGATTTTAAGTTACATTAAATTTCACTGCAGGCTTGAGCATTATCAAGGGACTCTTTTACAAGCTAATTGAAAAGTAAAGATTACTTTCATTTTAACTTCTAGTTCCTCTCAAACTGACCTCTTTTCCTCCCTCCCAGTCAGTTTGCAGTCAGAAGTTGAAATACTTTCTGCCTACACTTGTGGCCTTGCAGTTTTGTGAACTCAAAAATCACACAATAGTTTAAAAGAAATTAAACTTCCCTTTTGGGGAAAGGTTGAGCTGACTAGTATAACAACCAGAGTGGAATTTTAAAGGCAATCAAGAATGTGAATGAATTATTTAATGGTAGCTAAGTAAATACAAAAGTTTAATCAGAAAGGAATCTGCACAGGCAGGAGCTGGCAGCCACCCTGGCTTTTCCTTGGTGGGAGGGGAATCTGGGAGCTGTGAGTGTGCCAGGTGTGTCTGCTGCTCACACAGTGCCTCTCTGGAGAGGCTCAGTCTCCAAAAGCAGCGAGGGGATGCTGTGTCACACTGCAGCAGGGTGCTGAGGACAGCGAGGTGAGCACAGCCTTCATCCTGCTTGATTTACATGCAGCATGTAGAGGTGTTCCAGGTCTGCACTGCTGCTCTGGTGCCTGCTTTTGGGGCTCCTCAAAGTGCACCTGGAGCAGAGTGCTGTGAGGATTGCAGCCTGTTTGGGCTGTTCCAGAGCTGTGTCCCCTGTCCTGTGCAGGTCTCTGCCTTTCCCCCCAATGGTTACGGCCTCTACAACATGGTGGGCAACGCCTGGGAGTGGACATCGGACTGGTGGGCTGTGCACCACTCCCCCCAGGAGCTCCACAACCCTGTGAGTGTTTGCTTGGCACCACCTCCAGAAGCCCCTCTGGGACCAGGGTCTCTTGCTGTGCTGTGCTGCTGGGGTGGGGGATTGGGAGCATCGCAGCACAGCTCATCCACACCGCAATTGCGGCGCTCTGGTGCAATTTTGGTGTTGTTTGGTTAGTTGTTCACACCTGGTTAGCCATTGGGTACTTCCAAACTGGCCTCCTATTACAGAAATCAAGAATTTGTGGCATGACTTCTTTAAAAAAAGGAAGGGTTTTAGTTCATTTATGTTGCTACAAGCTGTGCTTATTTTCCCCTCCCTCCAAACCATCATGAATTATCTTTCTGGCTTCTGGTAGCTTGTTTTAAACTGAACATGTGATAAAACTGAGGTTTAGGAGAAGTCACCAGGCTCTGAGAGGTGAATCTTTGTTTTCCTTTGTGGCAGGCAGATGGAGGTTCCTGCAGGTTCAGATGTGTGGGGTCACTGATGCTCTGTCTCAGCAGATTCCAGTTCCAGTGTTAGATCTGCTCCTCTCCCAGTTATCCAGGATGAGTAAATCCCATGATTTATGAATATGACAAGTAAGGCCATGTAGAGTTTGTCACTCAAAACCCCACCAAATACAGTGGTTTTTATTTGCTAACAACTTACAAAGCACTTTCAGGTTTATTTTTACTCCTGGTAATTACTTGTGAAGGCAAGACAATCAATTATGGAACCCCCCAACAATCTGTGTGCAGAATTCCATCCATTCCTTGTAGCCAATACTCAGCATAGCTCATATCTTTCCAGTGCTAGAAAGCTGCTTTGAAGATTTTGGGTGTTAAACTAAATATGTTAAAAAACTCTGCCTGAGCTCTGACCCTCTGGAAGAATTCAGAGTCTTTTCAGCCCAGGGAACACATCCTATATTTAGGTTACACTGCCTTGTGCTCTGCAGAGACTGAAGAGCTGGGCTCTGATAGATCTGGTGCTAATCAGTTCTAATGTCTCAGAAGGTAACTGCAGCCTGGCTATTTTGGGACACCTTTTCACAGGAGGAGATGCAGTTTCTTTACCCATTTAACCAGAAAAACCCTTTGGAATTCACTTTGAAGGGCTCTGCCTCAGACACTGGATTCTGACAATCAGTTTGCATATGAAAAACCCCTAAAAGCCTCATTGCTAACATTTAGTTTTTAAATACTTCCTGAAGTGTCTGGGTTTAACACTTGAGCAAACTCTTGGAGTTGAAGAGAGCAAAATTCACAGGATAGTTGTTCCTCACCATCACCTTAATCCAGCAGGGAAGTGCTCCTGCCTTGGCATCATCAACACCAAAGTGTCTCAAATAAATAATTATAATGAAGGTACCTCACTGCAGTCACAGAATCCCAGAAGAGTTGGGGTTGGAAGGACCTCAAAGCCCACCCAGTGCCACCCCTGCCATGGCAGGGACACCTCCCACTATCCCAGGGTGCTCCAGCCTGGCCTTGGGCACTGCCAGGGATCCAGGAGCAGCCCAGCTGCTCTGGGTACCTGTGCCAGGGCCTGCCACCCTCCCTGGGAACAATTTCCTCCCTAAAAATGTAACTGATCCTTTAGCGGAGAGAGCCAAGTGTGTGTGTGAGGTCCAATCAACCACAGTCCCTTCAGGGGTTATTTTGTGGTGACTTCTGGCTCTGATTTTTTTGTATGAGCTGCAGTTCTCTGTTTGAAAATTGATTTCTCTCCAAACAGAGTAACCATTGTATGAGCTGCAGTTCTCTGAAAATTGATTTCTCTCCAAACAGAGTAACCATGTGGCTGTGCATCACCATGCACCATCAGAAATCATTTATTTGATGTAATCAAAGAAATACAACTTTATTTTCATTAACAAAAAAGGGTTCTGGGTTTTTTTAGTAACTTTTAAAAGAACAGTCCTACTTTTATGGGCTTTGGTAATGGAATGCACAAGCACTTATGTAATCAGACTGGAATATGGCTGTTGCAGTATTCTAGTACAGAATAACCTTGTTCATTTACAGTAAACTCTGGGGTTTAAGTCTGGGATCAAAGTCTGGACAGCTCTGGCCCTTTGCACCAATGTCCTTCCCCTTCAGTACCAGCTGGTGCATTTCTCCAGGTCAGGCCATAAAACAATGGTGTTTGATAGAACAGATCTGCTGGTTTTAATCAAATGTGACCTTAATTGCTGGGCTGTGATTAGCTTTTAGTGAGGGGAAGCACAGCCAAGGCAGTTTCCTTCATCTGTCAGTGAGATATGTGCACAAGCAAATATTAACACTGCAAATGCTGCTGATGATGTCTCTTGGTTTTCTGATTTTCTGACATTTTTGCCAGTTGTTTTAGATCAACTCTTTACCTTCAGTGGTTTTAAATAGGAGAATGATGTTTTATAATGGAACAGATTTATGGAGGACACTACAGCAGATTTCTGCAGGTGAGGTGTTTCAGGGCTGTAATCCTCCTTCAGGGGCTGTGGGAGTCAATTTAAGTTGGTTTTTTTGTTACCAGATAATCTTTGATGCTCAATTTTGGCCTGATGGAAGATACTTGCAGTTAATAAACAGATGCACTCCTGAGCCTTTGGTTCACACATTGCTCAGTGCAGGTCAGCCCTTTGTAACTGCTGACACATGATAGATTTAGGCTTTTCTAACCCTAACCAAAAATGTTCCTCTTCATTTATAAAAGCGTCTTTGGAGCCAGTTGCACAGATTGCTGCTCAGCCCTGCAGCATTTAGGGGAAATCCTGCTCCACAGCCCCATTGTTCTGCTTTGTCTTGTTCCCATGGAACTTTTTTTAGGTCAGTTTTCTCCTAGTTTCCCTTGAAATGAGATTACCAGGCTGGGTGATGACTGCTGGTGAGAGGCTTGTCTCGGAGCAGGGACTGTGCATGCCCGTGCAGGTGTTGTGGGGACAGTTTCCAGAGGCTGCACAGTGCTGTGGGGAGCACCCAGGCTTGGAAGGAGCGGATGCTGCCTCAGGGTGTGGTTTTCCTTGAGTATTTGTGTGCCATTAAATGCCAAATTCTTTTTCACACGTATAAATTTTGGCAGTAAACATGAAGCCGCTGCAATTTGTGTGGTGAACTCACACAAAGCAGGCAAACTCAGGGGGTGCAGGCAGGAGCTTCTGGAGTACCAACATCAACTCTCAAGGTTTTCTGAGAGTCCCTGAGATTTATGTTCAGTTACAAATGCTCTTCTGGGGTAGATTATTCTAGAACATCACCCCTGGTAATGCAGACCTGGGTGGGAGACAACTGTAGCCCTTGAGACAGAGTAGGAGAGTGAGATCCATGGCAGGTGTGACCAGAGTGGTCACTGAGGAAAGCTGGAGCTCATTTCCTTCCTGGTAAAACCCTCTTTAGGAACCTCCCTGTTAGCAGGCATTATCAGTGGGCAGCACCTGGAATGAAAAATATTTGCAGCAGTGGGGAAGGGAGCACAGCTACTGTCACCTGCAAACCCTATAGGGCAGAATTATTTCAAGCTGTCTGCTTCAGACGCCACTGACATCTGTGTCTGGAACGTTTATGATTGCTCCTTGCCCATCCCCTTACTCCTGTAACCAGCAGTTATTCCCTGAGCACTGACCAGTGTCCTCCCTCCCCAGCAAGGGCCGTCCTCGGGCACGGACAGAGTGAGGAAGGGTGGATCCTACATGTGCCATAAGGTAACGTGCTCTTCTCGTGTTCCTCTTCCCTCTGAAGCACTTGGCCATGATCCTCTGACAGTTTCCTGCAGCCTGGATGCTTGGGGTTTCATGGGATTTATGAAGAGCAACACCTGATGTTCCTAAGGACCTCTTTTTGCTTAGCTTGGAGTTAAAACAAGTTTTTAAATCAGTATGGGTTTTAGATGAGAAATTAAAATTGATGTAGGCTTCTAATGGTGTTTTATGATAGAACTTGAGTGACACTTGCAGAGTGGAAAGTATGGATGTGACTTTGTTTTTTAAGTTTTAGAATTGCTTTTGATCCAGAGCTCTGGGTAACCTGGTCTAGGGAAAGAATGCTCCTATGCAGGGCAGGGGGTTGGGACTGGATAAGCTTTAAGGGCCCTTCAATCCCCAATCCTTTTACAATTCCATGGTTCAGTGATATCAGGTGTTTGCAGAGCTGGCTGGGGGATGAAGTGTTTGTTGGTGGCAGACCTGAAAATCCTTCAGAACTGCCAGGATGTCACCACAGAGTGATGGCTGTTCATGACACAAAACAGTGTTTTAAACTCTGCTCATGCAGTGCTTAAAAGCCCTCATTGTACATCTCCTGTTTCATTAAAGCTGTCCTGTTCTTCCCTTGCAAAGCCTGTGGCTGGCAAATCACTCTCATAATTAGATTAAATTTTCTACAGTGAGATCCCATTTTCTACACTGATTTCCTTCTTAGGTGAAATCAATGTCAGATGTTAATTAGCAGTTTTGATTAAATTAACACTGGAATAGGCTCTTCAGTGATGAATAACATGACCCATTTTGAAGGTTTGTGAAGATTCTAGTCTGCCCTAGTCTTTTTTTGTAGGTGATAAAACTAGGCTGTGTATCAAGACAAAACCACTGACTGCTGTTAGTACAAGGGCTCTTTATTAGGTGCCTGACATCAGCTCAGACTGATCTTTGTGTGCTGGTGCTCTTCTCCCTCTCAGAGCTGACAGAGCCTGAAGCTGCATCTTTTTACATCCCATCCCAAAAATCTGGCACCTCATTCAGAGAAATGTTCAGTACCTGTCCATTCCAGTGGGGCCTTAGCACATGGATACACAGCTCAGCCTCTGAGGGGAAGCTGAATGGTTGTTTTGGCCTTTTCTCAGAGCAGGGGAGATTCTTGGCTGACACTTTATCAGACACTTTGCCACTCAGTCCAGTTTTGTGTCAGCTGGAGGCTGTGTCGGATTCCCTCATTTCTAACACAGTGATTTCCATCCGTGGCACTTCATCCATCTGTCCCACAGCGATGGCAACGTTTTGCTGTATTAATCTAACTAACCAATCTGTTAATCTAACACACTGTTGCCTGAGGAGCCCCAGCTATGCTAAGAAGTTCCTTTTCTGTGTTGCTGTGCAGTCCTACTGTTACAGGTACCGCTGTGCAGCTCGGAGCCAGAACACCCCCGACAGCTCTGCGTCCAACCTGGGCTTCCGCTGCGCCGCCACCGCCCCGGGGCCACGCTGAGCCACGCTCACAGGGCATGGGCCTGGGCACAGCAAGGGCTGCATCCCACCCAGGGAGAACAAATGTGAGCAGTGTCCCTTGCTGATGGCACACAATGGAAAAACCTTGCTTCAAGTTCCTGCCGAGGGAAGAAAAACCAGCACGTCTCGAGAGCGCGTGGAGAACCTTCGTGTTCATGAGCAATCTGGCCCGGGTGTTTTGGATTCAACTGGAACAAAAGTGAGCAGAAACATGCCAATCATGTTTTCAAAGATTACTTAATCCCAGAATTAGGCTTGAAAAAACCTCCAGAATTCTTGAGTCCAGCCCTTGACTGATCACCACCTTGTCAACTACAACAGCTCCTCTTTAGAGAGGATCTTTATGAATTAGTTTTATTTATGTAGAGCTTCTACACTCAAATGCAATAAACAAAGACTTTATAAACTTCTAGACAGCTTTAAAAGAAATTCTAGGCAATTAGGAAATTCTAGGCAGCTTTGAGAGACAATGAAGGAGTCAAGAATGAGGGCTGGGAGATGACAGCTCTCCCCACAGGCAGCTTGCCCTTTGTTACATTCCACTGCAGTGAAAATCATGTCCAGAAATGGGCTTCTCCTGGGGAGATACTTGCTGCTCTTTAGGAAGTGCCTTCTGCAGCTGAGGGAGATGATCCTCAGGGTGATAATGATTAGAAATCTTGTACATACTTTAATAAAGTATCCAGCATTTGTTTATACCAAAGACTTTTATTGATGGAAAAACACAATTTCCTTTGAATTTCTTGGACACAGTGTAGGCTTATTTTAGGGATTTGGAAAATGCAGTACTGGCCTCATTAGAAACTGAAGCTAATGAATGATTCCACTTGAATAAAAGTCATGGAAGTGATGGCAGATGGAACTGTGAGCCCTAAGACCTAATAGGGCAAATTTCTAAACTGTTCTGTTGAAAATAAAATTCCTCACTGAAAAGAAGAGGAATTTTAGCAAGTGAGAAGGGAAATGGGAGCAATTGAAAGCAACCTTGTTTTGGGATCTGAATGTGATGGTGGATTAACAAAAGCCTTGGCACTGATGCTGGTCCTTGCCAGTGTTGTCTTTCCTGTAGAAAATTTGGTTTGAGTTTAATGCAAATCCATCACCTGGCAGCTCCTTCTGCAGTGGTTTCATGTTGAAAAGGTGACACAGGAGAATGCCTGGGCAATCCTTCACCAAACACCAGCCTCCAGTGGGGTCCAGGTAAGCCCAGCGAGCAGAAAAATCTATCCCAGGACACAGCATGGCATGGCACAATACTGATATATTGATAATCATTATTGCACTCAGAGAAGAAAGGAGGAGGGAGGATGAAAGGAAGCTCAGAGCCTTTGGAGCTGTTTGACTGGATTCATTGTGGAAGAGCACACTGAGCTGTGAAGGGCAGGCTGGGGCTCTGAAGCTGGAAGGAGTCTGAAGGAGAAAGTGAACAGAAATTCAGCAGATACAACAAGGCATCTATTTTTTTCCTAGTTTCTTGACAGGGAATTTTTTTATTAAGATTCTGGTGCACTCCTCCAGGCAGCTGCAGTGCCCAGGCATGGTGGAGTACATGCTGTATGGAAAAAGGCCATTAACAACTGTCAGGATGGTTTAGAATTCAATTAACAATTATTTTGTTTTTGCAAGGCCCTCAGCGTGGCTGTTTTGAGCAGTCCAGCACTGTTCCTGTTCTGAGCTGGGAAGTTTGCTCCAAGCAGATAACTGGGATCAGGTCACTCCCAGGAGCTGCAGCGCTGGCGTGGGCTGAGGGCTCAGATTGCAGGGCCAGAGGGCTCAGCTGTGCTCCTGCTCTGGGGCTGTGATCAAGGACCAGATACTGCTCAAGGTGGCTGGATTTTTTTTAATCTGCACTTCCTTAACTACTCAGAATCATGCCAAGTGCATACTCATAACAGGAAGGTAACAAACCGTGCTGTCATCCTGAAAATGAGGAGTGCAGATGCTGTAACACTCATCTTGAAACTTTTCTCAGGAGGGAAAGAGGAAGTGGATTGGATCATCTGCTCCCAGCCCTGTGGTCTGAAAGTGGCTGGCATGGTGCCTTTTCAGGGAGAAAACCAGATAAAACTCTCTTCTGCCCAAGAGACCTTGCAGTCCAGGCTGCCCTGGAATCCTGTGCATTCCAAGGGATGGGGTCTAGGGAGTTTCCCTCCTATAACAGCAGGAACCCTAAGAGGCAAGGACTGAAGTTAATGTCCATTCAGCCTGTGAACTACCTCTGACAGCAGCTGAAATCCTTTGGAAGGTTCTGCACCGTCAGAAATGACACTTAATGATTAACCCTAAGAGAAATCACCTGGTGATGTTTGTCTTAACATAAACCCACAGCTGTGTCTAAACCCCAGCAGCAGCAGGAAGGCACTTAAAGGGGAGAGGTTAACACTGCATCTTATCAAGGAAGCAAACATAAACACCAAGTAGGATTTTGTTTAGTAAATAGTGAAATGTTCTTTATCCCTGGTCAGTATCAGGTTAATCAGATGGTTTGGGTTGGAAGGGACCTTAAAGCTCATCTTGTTCCAACCCCCCTCCCCAGAGCAGGGGACCTTCAATTCATTCAGAGCTGCAGCCTTGGATTATTCTGATTGTATTTCAATAGGAAAGTGAATCTCCCAAATACTGAATATCATTACTGCTCTTGGAGAGCAGACAGGATTACAGAGAGCTCCCAGTTTTTAGCTGTTTGCCTGGATTCCTTGTGAAGGAGCATACTGAGCTGGGAGTGACAGCTCAGTCCTTCAGTGGCACCAGTCTTCCAGGTCCAAATCAAAGCTGGCTGTAATTTAAAAATGAAGTTACTGATCACCTGCAGAACAGCTGATCCCCATGAGATGTACTCCCTTGTCTGTGTTATGTCAAAGGGTATGGAAACAGATGAAGATCCAACTGTCCAGAGTGAATAATTGAGGGTTTGTGCTGCTGATGGCACAGTGTGACACGAATAAAAAACTGCATTGCAGTTTGTCCGTCTTAAATATCAAAACCAGCCTATGTGAAGGTACCTTAACTTGATCTTTGCAGAAAGGAAGTGGAGGAACATGCAGTTACAGAATGTGCCCAGGTGGCAGTGCATCCCTGGGGGAAGGAGCTGCTCAGAAAAGCCCTGCACAGCTGTTAGAGCCACACAGGGATGATGCAAAGAAGATGGAATGACCTTCTCCCTGTGCTGGGAAAGGCCAGGCCTTGCTTAATGCTGCCTGGAGTAGTGAAAACATGGATCAGTTAGCAGCTGAAAGAATCCTCGTGCATCTGTCAGCTGTTCAACACAAAACACAAACCTGTTGCTGTTCAGATGCACTTCTGTATTTCTCCTTTCAGTCAGCTTGTCAGCACCATCCTGCTGCATGCTGCATTTGCCTCCTGAGCAGGTACTGAGTGCTGGGGATCATCCTGCTGCATGCTGCAGGGGCTGCATTTGCCTCCTGAGCAGGTACTGAGTGCTGGGGAGTAACAGATGTGCTGCTTGTTGTGATTGCAGAGGTCTGATGGGAGCAGCCTCGAGGCTGAGGTGCTTAGAAAAGATGGGATGTGGTGCTCCTCAGAGACTGCTGTCCTGCACCACTTCAGCAAAGCTGAATGGGAGTGAAGCAGCCAGTCAGTCAGAGCTGCTTTGGGCATGGCACTGCAGCTGGAGAAGGGACACACCAAGTACTAAAGCTATGCTTTCCTTTTTACATCAATAATTAGTAGTTAGTACGCTTTGTGGAACAAAAAAAAATTACAGCAAATAATTAAAAAAAATAATTTAATGGATTTTAAGAACCTAATACCTTTCTTGCAACAGTCATGGTTCATGGTATTATTTTCTTGTGCCACTGTCAGTGACTTTCCTTGCTTTTATCACATCCTGTCCATGTACAAGTGCCAAAGGTACAAATTCTTTCTGAAGGGTACAAACTGAGAGAGCCGCTTTAACATACAGCAAGCTGTCAGAGGAAAACCAGACAAAAACACCAGGCCTGGCTTAGTCACTGATTTTGGAACATCTTAAAGCTCCAATAATCCTTTGTACTCTCCACCTTGAAAAGGTTTTTCCATAAAATTAGTTCTCAAAACCATGTCTCTTTGCTGCTCTTCAAACCCCACGTGCTTCCTTGTTGGAACAGAATGGGTTTGATTTAACTGCTGGAGAAAACAGTATTTTCAGGTGTGTTGAAGGCTGAAAGGCTACGGAGAACTCGCTGGTGTGGAGAAGAGGGAGCTGTCCCAAGGTAAGAAGGAAGCACACGTGCGGGAACCACAGTAGCAAGGTTTCCTCAGGCTGTTCTCTTCCTCCAGAGGTTTGTCTTCTCTGCTGGCTTCTGGGAAATTATGGCATCTTCCAGAGTAATCATATGAAAGTTCCTCTCCAGCAGAAATATCAACAGCTGCAAAAAGCGCCAGTTTGGGCACCATGGAGTCCACTCTGACGGGCACCATGAAGAGGTTGGGTTCGCACGAGTGGTTCAGGAACCTGCCCACGTTCCCGACACGCGTGGGATCCACGAAGGTCTCCATCACCCTCCCGTCGTGCAGGTGCTCCCTCACTGCTATGATGTAGTTTGGCTCCTGCGGGCTCTGGGCCTGGATTCTCCTCCGAGCCTCGGCAAAGCCCAGCACCTCCCCGGCATACTCGCAGACGAAGCTGCCCCTGGGGATGGGCTGCAGCGCGCGCACGCCCCAGCCCTTGCTGCGCGTGCGGAACACCTGCAGCCGCAGCCGCAGCCCCCGCTGCACCAGCCTGTTGTGGCAGCCCTCCCCGCAGCAGCACAGGCTGTTGCACTCAAACACGGGCCTGGAGAAGGGCTGCTCCTGCAGCTCGGCCAGCCTGAGGCCCGGGCTGCTGTAGTTGTGGCCGCGGCTCAGGCAGGGGCAGCCGGGAGGCGCGCAGGAGCTGCTGCGGCAGGAGCAGCCCGGGAAGGTGACTTCAGTGGGGTCGAGCTCTCCGTCCGCTCCGGCCACGCTCTCGGGGCTGTACTGCAGAGAGAACAGCAGTCAGGCAGAGCCCTGCCACCAGCAGTGCTCGAAACCAGAATGGTAAACAAGTTTATGTCTGTAAACGGCTGATCCCCAAACAAAAATCATGAACGCTTTGCTTTTCTGTAAATTTCCAACTCAAACTTGTCTGAAATGTCTAAGAATACAAATCAGATATTCCATATAGACCAATAACCAACTGATAGTCTCATTAGTGCCTGAATTTCTGAAAATAGCCACAAAAAGTGCTTAGCAGAAAAAAAAAATAATCTCGTGAGTCTCTACTATGTACCATTTTCATTTATAGTGAAACTAAAGATATTTATTGATGGATGTATTTATTTGCAGAATTATCAAGGTATTCTTAAAGTAATTCTCCCTACACTTCAAAATACTCAATAAGTTATTTCTAAGGTTAATCTATAGCTCTTCATGCCACAAAATTTCAAATCACACAATTACGTTAAAAATTAATATATTTTCAATTTATCTCTCCAACTTGTTGTATTCATGCTCGCTCCTAATTCCGGTAGAAAATCAGGTCCTCAAAATTACACTGATGCCCCCAGCAGGTGAATGGTTATAGAACCACGGAGCGCTGGAAAACAAAACCCGATGGAAACTGCTGCATTTGGAAAGCAAGGTACAAGGCCAGCCACGGGGGTATTTCCACTCCCTCCTCAGCATTCAGCTTTATTTAGAAGCCTGGAGGATGTGCTATCACTAAATATTACATTTCACAGGAGCTTGTACCTGGCAGTTCTGGG